GGGAGGCGGGGGCCGCGGTCTTGGTCGTGAAGACGGGGTGGGAGCGCGTGGCCGGGGGGGGGGGCACGCCCGGGTGGGGGGGCGCGGCCGGATGGCTGGAGCAGAAGGAACGACTTTGTCGGAACGTCAACCAGCGCCCTCCGTGTCCAGGGTCGGACGACAACGGACGCCGACACCCGTTGTCGACGTGTAGCCGTATGGATATTTCTCACGTGTCCTGACAGGTTCAGATTTGAATCGAACACGCCCAAATGGTCATGAAGTTGTACCCGCAGTCGATATGCACCCTGTATAACGTCCCCTGTGGTTCGTAGGCTATGCGACGGTGATTTTAGGGCGCGCCAGCACCAGGGGGGCAGGATGCACAGGTTTTGAACCCAACCCGGGGATGTCATCGTTTTGTACCCGGGTGACCTGTGTGTGTTTTTTTTTTTTTTGCGATAGATGGTTTTCACACGCTTACAGGTTCCCTCAGAAGCGCTGGTTGCGGGGCTGCAAAGGTGTTTTGAAACTACAGTTGTGTTCGGCATTAATTCTTAGCGTAGCGGCAAGCCCAAAATCAGGGGGAAAATCCTTATTTGACCTTTAACATATCATCAGGTGTGCTCCAATGGGCGTGGAATTGTGCGTACAGTCGAAACATACCCTGTAGAACGTCGTGTGGTTCGTATCCTATTTGATGGTGACGTTCGTGCGTTCCAGTACCGGGGGGGGGGGGGGATGCACGGGTTTAGACCGAAAACCCGGGGACGCGGTGGTTCTGTGCCCGGGGTGGCCTTTATTTTTGTTTGTCCTGAACATGTTTCTCACTCATGTTCAAAGATCCCCTCCAAAGGCTGTGTCGTGGGGATGAATGAGTATTCCTCAATGGTGGATACCGTTTGGCGGTGTTCGGCGTGAATTCTTACCGTTAGCGGCATGCTAAATCAGGAAAAAGTACCCATATTTGACCAAGCATCATTTTACGTAGACAACTCATTTCGCCGTGATTTTTTTTGTCTCAAGTCGTCTACTGACTGGAATAACATATTTATGCATCAAATTGGTTGTTCTGCCTCGTTTCGAACGCACAGAGCACGCAATACAGGTCACGGAGGGAAAAACTCATCCCTACCCATGGTGTCGATAACCTGGGGATACGTCATTTTCATCCCCGGATGTTGATCACATTTGTGTTTTCTTACTTTTTTGTCATTCCTGTTGTATTTTACGCATGCCCACCAACTTTTGGTCTTGAAACGCTTCCAAACGTACGAAATCAATCAATGACCAAAGTGGCCTTTGATACCCCTGGGGGTAGTTTTCCGTCAAAATGACGCCTGCACCTCAGATGTACGGCTCCAGCCCTACCTCGTCAATGTTGACGTTTTTTTTTGGTTTTTTGTACGTAGGCGGGGGGTGACCTCACCTTTTGCTAGATACCGCAATATCATCGAAATTCGATTTCCTGCTCAAGAGCAAGCTCTTAGCACAGGGTGTGGCTTAAGTGGCCTTTTATACCCGCCTCTACTCTACAGTATTTACATATCAGGGCAACAGGGTCATGGTTCAATCGGGAGTGCAATATGGCGACACCACTATGCTGCCGCTGGGTCGCGCCCCCCATGAATGAAGTTCCGTTGATGACATCCGCCCTTCTGCGGTGCTTTGACAAACGAAAACTACAACTCACGGATTAAAACTACTGGGAAACATAAGTGTAAACATTGAAAAACTAGACTACCCGTTCGAGATATGAAAATGTCAGCAGGTGATTCATTCGCCGGCCAGCACCTATTACTACCCGTTGTTGCATCTACATTAGTTTATCAACTTCTCATGCCTCTCTTCCAAAACCACACGTCTTCGTGAGGAAAACCTGCAAGTAGAATTTACAACCAGACCCTGAGCTCGCCGGACTCCCTGTTGTCATTACATCGAGTTAGTGGCACATGGATCTTGTGCTACATTACCGAAGCCCTTGCCCTTTCACTTGGCGTCCGACTATGTCATCAGCACCAGGTGAACTTGGTCAGCAGCGCCGCGTGCGTGCCACAAGCGGCAAGCGCCTGACGCCAGGGTCGGCCTGTGCTGCACGGTGTTCTTCCTGATCATCATCTGCGAATAGTTCCTAGGGTATCTAACTGCGAATCTTCGCTCTTGTTTAAGGGTATCTTCGCGGGGTCCGTTCGATATCCGCGTATCGACTACTGATTCACAATCTGCCTCCGGTATATGCTGCCAACTGAAGTCCTCCTGCAAAGAAAGCTCGCGTGAGTGTGCCATCGCAGCCCTACAGCTATCATTCCGAATGGAAAAGCAAGCCTCCCTCACGACGGGACATCTGAAGCGTGTTCCAACAAGATGCAGATGTGGGTAGCATAGCTGTCCGCGATCGCTCAAGGTGCCTTCCCCGTCATGTCGTTCCACCGTCTGAATCAGAAGATGAAGCATATGACCCCAACAAGTTCAACCCACCCAGCCCTGCACCACCGGTCGCAGGTGGTGCTGGTGTCGGCGCTACAGCTGCTGCCTCTGAGCCACCATTCTGCTTGCGAGCAGCGTCGGTTTCCTCCTTGCTCTTGTGCTTTTTTCGTTTCTTGGACGCCTTCTGCTCACCGGTGACCTCGCTTGCAGCTTCGCCGCTGCCGGTACTACTCCGCTTCTTCTTGTGCTTCACGACGACCTTCGTCCCCACCGATCCCGCGACGGCCGCCTTCATCGCCTCAGCTTCCCGCCTTGCCTGCGCCTCAATCGCGGACACTAGCGCCGACCCCGCGGAGTGTGCCCTTTCCGCTTCACCAGCCCCTTCGCCCTCCTCCTCCTCTTGAGAATCCCCAGTGCTAGAAGACGATGCACCAGATTTTCGCGCTCGTTGAAACGTGTGTGTCCTGTTTTGTGCCTCCGAGCCGCTACCGTCTCCTCCTCCGACGACGGCGCGCTTTTTCCCTTTCCCTTTCAAGCTTTTACTGGGGGATTTGGTTCTGTTCGCATCCGTCGCAGCATCGCTTGCGCCGTCGCTGTTGTCCTCGTCGGCGTCCACCAATCGACGAACCTTGGAGCCGCCAAACTGGATGTTGGCAATCATTGCGTCGACCGCGGCGTTTTCGACAGCGCCCGCGCCACCCTGTAAAAAAGAGTGTGCAACGTAGCGACCACAAAAGTTCAGAACCCATGCTGTAAGTCGTTCATGAAGCGCACTCGACTTTGACAAGAATTCCTGGTCAAGCAAAGGAACGCAGCATGCAAGGATGCTCGTGAAACGCAGGGCTTGATGCACTGCTCGAAACTGGACGAAGGCCACATCAGAGAGATGGCGGGGGGGGG